CTTTCCCTTTTTCTCACATTCACACACATATGCTTTTTCATAAGGAGAAAAATGATTTTTTGTCTTTTTTTTTAAAAAAAGGATTAAAAAGGTAATGTAATGTGTCTCTTATACAGATATAAAGAATGTTTTAAAAATTTATTTAACTCATTATTAATGAGGTAATCATTAGTTGCAAAGGCAACATTGAAAGAGTATATATATACACACACACATACACACACACACACACACACACACACACACATATATATATATATATATATATATGGTATACATGCCAGAATGACTTCTTCCATAGTGGGAGATAAAACTAAGTTGAAATTCAATTGGACATAATTTTTGATACGTCTATAGACAATCATTTCACATTATTATAATTTATCTACAATTTACAGAGTTGTGACTCAAAGCCAATGAAAGACACAGAACTCCCATAGACTCAGAATCAAAGTAGAATGGTATGCCCTAAACCAAGGGCCCCCAGGCCCCAGGGTCATGGAGTGGTGCTAGTCCCTTGCCCATTGGGTCCCATCCCCCACCCCCCAGCTGGCAGGCAAGTGATTGAGGCTCCATCTGTGTTTGCAGCTACTCCCATTGGTTACATTGCTGCCTTGGCTCCACCTCCTGTCAGATCAGCAATGGTAGGGTTCATGAACCCTATTGTTGTATGATTGTTCCATTGTGTGTTACAGTGTAGTAGTGGTGGAAATGGGGTGCACAGTGGATTTGGTGTACTTGAGTCATCCCTGGAACCAACTCTCCACTCCACCCCATCCATGGAAGGATTGTCTTCCATGAAGTTGGTCCCTGGTGCTGGGAAGGTTGGGAACTGCTGCCCTAAGCAATAGTTTTCAATGGAAATATACATTTTCTCCCATATCCCCTAGAATTTGCACAGTAGGATTTCAGATTTTAATGGTTCAGTTACTGGGCTGTTGTGACTCTCCTTGCTCTCTTTTCAGCTGAGAGTGGTTATTGCAGTTATCTGCTTCTACCATTACATTGCATGATGACATATGGGGGCCAGATAACTTGTTATTTTAGTACATAGGTTATCTATGTACCAAAAGGGATCATTTAAGTCTGATATCAGTCATGGAGGTTCTGAACTTCCTGCCTGACATCTAATTAGATAAAGTTCTTGAGGTATATTGGGGAGAAGATGAGTGCATTTTGTTTATGGAGGGAAGCAAGTATTTGTGTACAAGAGTGTAAACTGGATAGACTACAGATTTTTAGTCATTATTCATTATGACACATTGGGGCAGATGCTTTAAAAGCATTTTTGTGACTTGACTCTGACTCCCTTAACCTTTTGTTTTCCATGATAAGAATGTCATGCCCTAGATCAGTCCCCAACCTTTTGGGCACCGAGGACCAATTTCATGGAGGACAATTTTTCTGTAACCTAGGGTGGAGGAAGGAAAATGGTTTTGGATGATTCTATTACAAGTCTATTACATTTATTATGCACTTTATTTCTGTTAGCATCCTATTGTAATCTATAATGGAATAATTATACAACAATAGGGTTCATGCTCCTATGAGAATCTAATACTGGTACTGATCTGGCAAGAGGCGGAGCTCAGGAGGTAATCTGAGTGATGGGGAATAGCTGTAAATACAGATGAAGCTTTGCTCACCTACCTGCTGCTCACCTTCCGCTGTGTGGCCTGGATCCTAACAGGCCATAGACTGATACTGATCCCAGTCTGTGGCCTTTAAATTGGTGAGTCTTTCCTAGATGAAATCTAATCCTCCAACCTAAGTTACTGAATGAAAAGATTCATGGAACCCACCTAAACTCATTAGATCCCAGTGAAGCCTAGTGGAGCCCAGTTTAGTCTCAGAGAGCTTCAGCTGACTGGCAGTCCTAAAGTAACATGAACAAGAAAGAAATATTTGTGGCCATAATGAGATTTAGCAGTTATCTGTTGTGGCTATAAAAGCTATTTGCTTTCTGTGCATTGGCTTACTTGCTTCCTTATGAGTTTGTTAAAGGCATTTGTCATGTTTTAAAGTTGTATCAGATATTGCAGAATTACTCTATGTAGAAGTTGCAGCAATTGACACGTCCAGAGGTAGTGTATGAGATTTCTAGATTCACCAACCCCTGGTATTTTCTTGAATTTTTGTTTTTGCTCAATTAATGGTTGAGTGAATCACTTTTATAATCTGAAACAAACAACATGAAAATGTTTGTTTGAAATATAAAGTGGTAGGGTTCAAACAAAGGGAAGCCAACTCTGATGCCAGGGCTAAGGAATGCCCAGAGGGCTGGCTCTGGGAAAGAGAAGACAGAGGGGAGAATCTGGGAGCCAGTGAGAGGTGAGCAGTGGAAAGGCAGTAGAGGCAGGAAAAGCTCAGGACAACAGAATATGGAAAGCAGTGAGGACAGGGTTCAGGAGTTGAATCACGAGCACCATCAGCCCATCTAATTCTTTCTCCTGCGGGTGCCAGTGATGAGTCAGGAACATGTCCTTCAGGTGCAATAGAGCCAACTGCTCAGGTGCATGTAATTGTCATCTAAATGTATTGCTCATTCTTTCATACCACAGGGTTATTGTGAATGAGTGATAGTGAAGAAGAAAACCAGACTGGAAATTGTAAGACCTGGGTAGAGGACCCCATTGGCAAGCTGTGACGAAGCAGCTCAGTGACCTCTGTGAAAATGGGGAGGAGAGCGGCGGTGAACTATTTGACCTCCAAGTTTCTTGTCAGCCATAAAGTATGATTCTACTTTTTACTGAATCAATTTCCCAGTCTATGCTTTCTCTATGCTAGAGAAGTAACCGCAAACCTTCGGGGACTAAAACATGCTGATCTGATTTTCTTTCACTTGTTTACTTCGCAGGATTCCCATGAATAAAAGAACAAGAAAGTGTATCTTTTTAAAAGTCAAGGCGTATTTATTCAAGAGTTATGAAAACATATGTTCACAAAAAGACTGGTACACAAATGTTCGCGGCAGCTTTATTTAAAATAATTGGAAACAGCCCAGGTGTCCGTCCACAGGAGAATGGATAAACAAAGTATGCTACAACCTACAGTGGAACGCTGCTTAGCAATATCATGGGATGGACTATTGATAACCACAACAACATAGCTGCATTTTAAAAACATGCTAAGTGAAAGAATCCTTCTAGGAAGAAACATACACAATCCCGTTGTTATGCAATTCTAAACAGGCAAAACCAACCTATGGTGGAAAAACGAGAACAGTGATTGCATCTGAGGGGTGGAGAGAGGGATTGACTGGAAAGGGTCATAAGGCAACATTCTGGGACTGATGGTGATAGTCTATGGATTTGGGTTACAAAGGCATATGTATGTTTTAAATCCAGTGAATGTCTTCTATGTATACAAATTTAATACATGTAAATTTTACATAAAATACTACAAGTAGGGGTCAGCAGATAGCATAGTGGTTACAACACTGGACTCCTACATGACTGACCACAGTTCGTGTCCCAGACCCAGTGGCTTGAAACTCACGCCATTCGTGTGTGCATGCGTGCCCAAGATCCTGGGAGAGGAGTAGAGGAGAAGAGACTGCAACATGGCCGTCCCTACTGAGAGGTGATTTCTCACTTTCCCTCTCACTTTCCAGAAAGCATATACAACCTAAGGTAAAAATGTCTAAAAACAAACAAACAAACAAAAAGCTATAAGTAAATCTCAAACCTAGTTAATGATATGCATGCTGAAGTATTTCAGGGGAAGTTTATTGATGTTTTTACTTTTTTTTTCTTTTAGTTTTGCTATAGGGTGTGTGCACTCACTGGAGAGAGAGAGAAGGTGAAAAATCACCACCCCAAGGGAATGGCTACACTACAATTCCTTCTCCTCCATTCTCCCAGCACTCTGGGCACACGTGCACATGTGCCAAGTGTGTTTTTCAAACTGTTGATTCTGTGACTTGAACCCCATAGTCAGCCATGCAGGATCCAGCCCCCTAAACCTTCATGCCACCAGTTGGCCCTGATGTATTTACATTGAAATCCATCAATCAATAAGATAAGTTAATGTCTGAACATAGAGAAGTGTGATAATGCAAATACACTAAATATTAATGGTGGTATTTAAGTGGTAGGTATCCTAATACTTGATGCAATTTTTTAATTTTCATTTTTATTTTAGGTTTTTTCCATAGGGCTTGTGTACTCACCAGAGAGAGACTGTGAGAGGGAAAGTGGTAAATCTGCCCCCCTTCCCAGAGGGGTGTCCATGCTGCAATTTGTTCTCTATTGTTTTCCTGGGATGTGGGGCATGTACGCACACATGCCTGGTGAGATTTTCAAGCTGCCGGATCTGAGTCTCAAACCACAGTTGACCATGTGGAAGCCCCATGCCTCAAACATCATGCCACCTGCTGACCTGCTGCAACAGTCTTTTAACTTGACTCTTTAAAATTTTTCTTAACAAAATATTGAAGTAAATCTAAGATAGTTTCATTGTGTGTGTGTGTGTGCGCGCACGCGTGTGTGGGCTGAAAAAATTGCATTAGGTCTGACCATACTAGCACAGGTGATATGGTGTGCTCTGCAGTGCTGAGTCACATGGACAACTGTGGGTATGGATCCCGAGTCGTCTTGAAACATGCTGGACATGTGCATGTGCATGGCCAAGATCCTGACAAGCTGACAGGCTGGGCAAAGGGGATCATGGCATGACGAAACTCTGTCAAGAGTGTTTCTCTTTCTCCCTTTCTCTCTCTCTCACTGTCTCTCATGCTCTATCTCATGAAAAAAACTTTTAAAAGTTGCATTGTAATGTGATAAAAAAAGACATATACACTAGAGTATCATGAAACTATGGTTTGAAATCCCTCTTGTAGAGGCAGAATTATACATATCTGCACCTCCCAACAGTGAGTGCTTTATTCTCCATTGTCTAGGCAGCTCGTTTAAAGAGGCGAGAAGAGTAGTGAGGTAGGCATTCTCTAGGATGGTCCTGAATGACCCATCATATCCTTGTGTAATCAATTTCCTTCTCTAGAGGACGGACTGAACTTACCAACTCGCTTCCAATGAATAAGTCATGGCAGAGGTAATTGCATGTCATCACCAAGATAAGGTTATAAAAAGACCATAATTTCATCTTGGGCACTCTCTGAATTTCTCTTTCTCTTTTAGATCACCAGCTGCCATGTTATGGGAACATTCAGGCAGCTTATGGAAAGAGAATAGAGAATGTTGGTTGGGCTCTGCGAGTTTATAAAGGATGGCTTTAGAATGTGCCTTCTTTGGGAAAAATGTTTCAGGCAGAGGCAATGGCAAGTGCTAAGCTCTTGAGAAGGGTTTTGTGTAGGATGCTGGAAAATAAGGAATCAGAGGAACCAGGGCAGAAGGAGATGAGGGCAGAGGTCACACAAGCTCTCAAAGGGCACTGTTGAGACTTTAGTTCTGGCTGTGAGTGAGAGGGGAAGATTTTGGAAAGTTGAGGGTAGACCAGTTATTTGATCTGACTTATTTTAAAGGCGCCATTTTGTTGGGAGGGGATGGCTGAAATACATGTTGATTGTCATCTTTGTTACTACTTCTATTATGCTTTTGTAACCCTCTTCCCTCGGGGAAGCAGGAGTTTCTC